GCGGCAGCAGCAGCTGCAGACTGGTTTTGAGAACCAAGCATAAGTAAGACTCCTGTCACCTTTCACTCCTGGAACCCCCACCCCTCTGGTGCTCTACATATACTCTTAGAGGAGCATAGGTGCCCCACGTTTTGTGCCCTAGACAGAACTCTGCCAGAGAGCACTGGGGGTGGAGAAGGGAGCTGAGTGCCAGACAGGGAGACAAACGGTCAGAGACATCAGTCTCACCTGCTCCAGAAACTCAGAGATCCTGGCTGCTGCCACGTTGTTGTCTGCCCACCCCCAACTGTTGCTGCCACAGCAAAGACTACCTGAGGGGCTGCCATCATAGTGCCATAGGTCTTAATTTTCACTGAAGGACCTGTTAGCCTCTAAGGCTTCCTGTACACATTACAGGTATCACACAATTCACTGGTTAAGTGTGCGATTACCTTAAGATTTGCTATACCTGCTAAATACTTATCATGCCATAAAAAGCTCTAGCTATAAAGTTAGACCTTGAAAATGTGGACTAACTTTATAACTGGTTGCTATTGAGCTTTTTAATTTGCTTTAATATGCAAGGGTAGTAGGGGCTCCCCTGCAGCTGCGAGTCCCAACTGAGCTGATGGGGCTCCCAGCCACAGGAGTGCAGCATGCCCAGCTGAGAGCTCAGCCCTAGCAGCTGCTGGCTCTGGGTTCCACCAGCACCCCCAAACCTGGAATATTGTAGCTGCATATTCCCTACACCATCTTCCAAGACCCAGGTAGGTCCTGACACCTGGGCAGGAGGTCGTCCCAGCTTAGAGGATCAGAATCCAGGAGAAAAGTGTCACAATTGAGGTTGAGGCCTCCACCCATTGCAGGCAAGTGAAGGCCAGCCCTCACTGGGGGAAGGGTTTGTCAGCAAAGAGCAGGTGCTGAAGGGCTTGCAGGCAGAGAAAGAGAGAATGAGTGAATACACAAAAAATGAATTGCAGGAGTTTTGTTATATTTGTTTTGTTTCCAGTGGAAGTCACATCAGGGTTACTTTTTTATACTGATTTGGGTGTTAATGGATTATGTGTCAACCTTTTACATAGGGTTTATTATTTCTGTAGTAAACTTGATTTAAATTGTATTGTAAACAAAACAAAATAAAAAATCCAGGAAGAATCATAAAGATAGTAGAGCATAGATTATTTCTTGCAGACCTATAATGGAAAATGTATTTAATTCCACCCCCCGACCCCCCAAAATATTACAGGCTTCAATCTATAAAGGTGATTTCTCATGCTTTTAAATTTTTCAGAAATCATAAATTATATTGACTGACCTATTCAGTTTTGAGAAAAGATCACTTTTTTATTCAACGTAACACTTTGACCAAAATCCAGAGGATATTTCTTTTAAGACATTGACACTAGTGGGAACTTTGCAGAAGATAATTTAGGAAATTTATAATCACAATGGGTGCATCTGTACATGCTATTAAGGCGATGTGATAAACTTCAGCTCAGTTCGCTCCTGAGTTAACTGCCCTCTGGCTCAGCGTCTGTGTGTGTGCCTGGATCAGTAACACTTTGAGCCAGGCAGACCAGCCCTGGGTGGGCAGCAGGCTTGTAGGGGTCAGCTGTGGGCTCCATGCATGGAGCAGCAGAGGGGTTGGCTGGGGCATGAGAATGCCCAAAATGCAGAGCTGTGTGACTCACCCCTGAGCCTGCTGCCAGCCCAGGGCTGCTCCATCCTGGCTCTAGGTGTTGCTGTCCCAGGAACCACACACGTGCGTTGTAGCACAGCAAATTACTCTAATGTAACTATAGTACTGTCCCCAACAATACTATCTTATGGCAGAGTTAATTTACTGCACCCTAATGCTGGCGCTCATGTAGATGGTGATGCTTTACTGCAGAGCTAATTAATCAGTTCCACAGTAAAGCACATGTGTGTATGTACTCAATGTGTAGGAAATAATAGTTCAATTTCCTATGCACTTTATTTTTATCTTTGGATATCTGTTTCAGTTTATATTTACAGTTAATTTATGTATGTTACAATTTCTGCTAACATAAAGCACTCTCGCTGCATGGTTTTAAAGTAAACAGACTACTTGACAAGTCCAGTTTCTTTGCTGGCTGATCATGCTCTTAGGCTTGTTATTTTTCATATTCAAAGTGTTAAGGAAGTTCAGGAATAAAGTTTCAAAGCCCACAAATAAAGTAAAATTATAAATAATGTACCTACCTGAGCTCTTTTCACATTCTTCACTGCCTTGTGTCCTGGGCTTGCATGGATCTGGGTTTAGTCTGTCTGGGTACATCTACACATGCACTTAATTGTGGAGCTGACTATTAGCTTTACAGTAAAGTGTCGCCGTCTACATGTGTGCCTGTACTGAGGCACAGTAAACTAATTAAATCCACTGTAATGATAGTACTGTCTGGGATGAATATTATCCTGCAGTGAAGTAGTTCTGTGTGGCAAAATAAATGTGTAGACAATGATGGGGCTGGCTGAGGTGTGAGGGTGCTACAGTGTGGGGCTGTCTGCTGGCTAGCCCTGCACTGTAGCACCCTCATACCCCAGCCAGCCCCTTTGCAGCACATTGAACATGGGTGGAGCAGCCCTGGGTTAATAGGCTGAGCCATAGGACCCCCTGCCAAACAGGGCTGCTCTGCTTTGGCTTAATGTGCTGCGGTCCTGGGTGCATGTGTAAACGCTGTGCCCAGGAGCAATAAACTCTAGGGCAAACTGCGTCGGAGTTTATTGCTATGTGCTAATTGCCCATGCAGATGCATTTAGCATATATCAAAGAGCTCTTGTGGGGCCTGCATTTCCTGTAGCAGGAAGCCTGCTGCTGCAGGGCACTGCTGGGGTTCTTTTCTCTGGGTTTTGTCAGAAGTCCGTTGTCATTCTCAGGAAACTCCAGAGCCATCAGCAAGGTTGTCGCACTGTTACTATTCCATTTCAGGAGGAACATCATCACAGTTTACCGTTAACTGGATGACTGGATGATGAAAAGCAGTTCCTCAGAATAGGTCGTGGAAAACTTAAAAACCCATTCTATGTTTACTTTGTAGCCTAGACCCCAAAAATCTAACTCCCTTGCCTCCTCCCCCGCTCCCCCCTGTCAGATCTAACCCACAAGGAGCTTTGTGGGCCATATCAGGACCCACCTCTGCCAGTGAGGTGAGCAGTGGCACCATTAACTGCCACAAGTTTCTAAGCTAGTCTGTTAGGTAAGGGAACCATGGGGATTAACGCAGCTATTGCTTACCCCAACACTGCCAAAATGCATCTCCAAGGGGGTGCTGTACCTCAAAATTTGGCAGCAGGCCCTACCTCCTCCCTCTCCTTGCCCCTAAATTCCCAGCCCTTGCAACTAGATAACACAGTTCAGTGGGTGTATCTTTCACAGACCTGGTCTAGACCTAAAAGTAAACTCCTGGAATTCAAGCTTTTCTTCAGAGACCGGAGTTCAACTCTTCAACAGAGTCTCTACACAAGACTCTGTTGCCTAGAACTTGCCTGCCTCAAGACACATTCTGGTGCTTGCTACATCTCATTGTACATGTGACAGCCAGCTGCCTGATAACAATCAGGACTTGTCTGTCTATGCCAGGCATCTAGATACTGCTATATGTAAGCATGGTTGCAGGTCACCTATTATTCTGGAAGATTTCTCTGGTCATGAAGTTAACTAGTCCCCTCCTGCTCAGCTCTTCCTTTGTGTGGGAAAAGGAACCAAGCAATGTCTGTAAGGGTGTTGAAGAATGCCACATTTCTTTTATTATGCCTTCTCACCCATGTTTTTAATTTTACAAGCTTTATGCAAAGTGAAGCAGGGCTGGCTGATCCTAGCAACTCAGTAGTTCTGGCTTCTGGATATTCTTTTTTTTGTCAGAGAAGATCTCTGATGGGCTCTTTTCAGAATGGGAGAGGGACAGTCTACTCGGTCTGCATAATCAACTGGTGGGGAGTTTTGCATGCATATAACTGGGATGCTCAGCTACTTGTGTTCAGTCTTTATATTTTTTTATAATTTGAATAGATGATTCTAAAGAAGAAGAAAAATAGATTTACTAGTCTAGTCTGCAGTTGGATCTATGTTGTTGGACACTGTCTACTCTGAGCCCCATTCACTTAAGTGTTGTAAACAAATCATCCTTATTTTATGGAAGACTTTCATGAAATTGTTCTAACTATTGCATCTTCAGAAGTCATGTCAGCAGTGAGTTCCATAGATTCAGGTGTCTGTCTACCAGGATCCACTTGTGTATGAGAATCTAAGAACTATAGAGAATTGAGGAAAAAAAGAGGGGTTGGGGAAAGAGAATTAAGAAGTTGGAATTATCCATGTGTGTTAAACATCTTTTTAATAAAAAGATGGCAAGACAATGTATTCTACAAGGAGAGTAGTTTTCCTTTATTTTCTCATTTTCTGCTCTTGTTCCATATGCAGTGTATCCATATGCATGCAAGAAGGGCAAAGTCAAGCCCTATTGTAATCTTCTGTTGAACTTCATAGGAGCTGCATCCACTTATACCAGGGCTAAATTTAATCTGAAAACTCCTGACAGAGGTGTTGTCAGAGTGAAGCCGAGTTAATCACTCAACCTATGCATTATTGTCATCAGTACGATAACTGATTTCTTTATTTTTTTTAAATGTATCTATTCAGTCTCTTTTACTGTATGGAACGGGGAAGGCCAACCTGTGGCATGAATGCCACAAGTAGCACGGGGCAGCCTCTCTGAGCCATGCAGCATATTTTGGGGTAAGGGCCAGGCAGCACAGTAACAGATAAGGCAGGGAGCAGAAAACAGAGCAGAAGATCAGGCAGGGAGCACAGGGCAGCAATCAGAAAGCAAAGCAGCCAGTTGGACAGAGGCAGGGGATTGGATTGGCACTCAGGGAGGGTCTGGGGCTAATGTGTGGCATGCCTGACAAAAAGGTTGGCCCCCACTGTTTTGGAATATAAATTGCTAAGTAAATACAGGCAAACTCTCTAATGGCATTTTCTTTTTTTTCCTTCTAACTAGAGTTTGTGTGTGTTCACACCACCTGGAGCTAAGGAAGGACAACCCCGACTCATTCCTGCAGGGCCGATTGCCCTTGGCACAACCATTTCTGCATATGTAGCCAAATCCAGAAAAACGTTGTTAGTAGAAGATATTCTAGGGGTAAATTGCTTTTTCTTTTTAATAAGATACGTACAAGTTACAGTTAAGGTGTCTTGTGGTTTAAATGTAAACTGAACTAAATACACAGTAAATCATTTATGTAGTTACTGGCAGTGTAGGACCAGAAGTAACTTTCTGGAGTATTTTATTAAAAATTCTTCTCTACTTGATTTTTAAACTGCTTGAAATTGTAAACATAGAAAAGTTTTGCCATACAATAAAACACATGGCTATTATGCAGGAAACATAAGCAAAAATTTTACCCCCACCTTCCAGAAAAGGAAATACACTAAGCCCATGTGATAAGATGATTAACATACATACTTTCATATAGTCAATCAAATTTTGATTTAACTGTACCGTACTACTCAATTCTACCAATCTGACAAGCAGTCTGACCAAAAATCTGTTTACTGGGCTAGATTTAGACCTGTTTACACTAGAAGAATTCTGGTATACCTCCAGTAACTTTAGTCAAGTTACTTCAGATAATACACTGTAATATAAGATCTGATCCTTTTGTCTGTAAATACAATTTCTACTGACACTGAAGTTCTTTTAACACAAGTCTTTTTCATTTCTAGTTCTGGTCTATCAAATTAAATCAAATTGATAAACATTTTTTTTGTTACTGTAAAGCAAGTTTGAATATTTCAATCATGACACCTCTTATTTTTGTTCTTTCAAGACAAAATGATCTAAAAGTCAGTCTCTCCTTATTTAAAATCTTCCATTCTTCTGAGCTGCTTCCTGTATGTATAGTACCTGTTTTCACATCTCATGATCAAATTGGACAGTACAGTTCATAGTGTTTATGACAGAACTAGTCAATTGCCCGTCAAGAATGACAGGGGGGAGGGGGCTGGCATGCAGTGCCGCCACCTACCGCCCCATGCTGCTGCTGTTCTGCTGCTTGCAGGGAGCAGGGTTGGGGAGCTGAGGCCAGTGGTGCTGGCCTCAGCTCCCCCCCCCTCTGTCCAGTCCTTGGCATGGCTTTGGAATCACCCTGGGGGCGAGGCCAGCACACTCTGGTCCCCATCATCCCCTCTGCTGGTCTTGCCCCCCTGGCCCCTCAGTCTCCACTGTCATGGCAGCACTCTGCTGTCTGTCCCTGTCTGTGTAGGGCACTCTGGCTGCTGAGACGATCAGAGCGCAAATAAAGTGTTATGGACAGACAAATAGATGGACAGACTTAGGCTTTTATAGTATTAGAATATATATGAACCTTTTTGCATGAACCTAGGTCATGTGCATGAAATGGCAGGTACTTAGTCATAGAAACTTAGGGTTGGAAGGGACCTCAGGAGGTCATCTAGTTCAACCCCCTGCTCAAAGCAGCACCATCCCCAACCAGATCATTCCAGCCAGGGTTTTGTCAAACCAGGCCTTAAAAACCTCCAGGGATAGAGATTCCACCATCTCTGTAGGTAACCCATTCCAGTGCTTTATTACCCTCCCCATGAGGGAGTTTTTTTTCAGATTTAATGGGCACCTATACATGAGCACGGAGTCTTCTGGAGGATGGAAACTGACACACCCCAGCAGCCTTCTGCTTCTCATATCAGCGTCCTCATGCTTAAAAATGGTGGGGGGGGTGGTGCTTGAACTAAAGCTCATTGAACAAGTACCCCCACCATCGTTTTTAAGCACAGGGATGCTGATACAGGAGACATGGCGGTGCTTTAATTAGAGCGGCTATCGGAGCCACTCTAATTAGTGCTGCCCCTCCTACTGCCGGAGCACATATAAAATGCCCAATGTGCATTACCTAAAATTCCTTCTAAGTAGTAAGTACTCTCTGACCCCAGCATGTCCTGGCAATCTCCAGATCTGGAAATATATCAGCGGAGTTGCCATGGCAGTATTCCATGGCCACTCTTAAGCACACTGGAGACCAAGGTCCTGAGAGTGACTTCAGTGACATGAAGTCTGAGACCTTTTGTATTTATATTGCAGTTTGAAAGACTGAAGCCCTATTATCTTTTCACAAGTGTGAGAATAGGTGCACTCTAGGGATAGTTTGTGGGGTATAGGAAAGAATTCCTGTCATAGGCTTAGTTGAGAGAAAACACTTTTCTTTGCAATACTGGTATAGTTTGGAAATTTTTGGTTTGGGGTCATGTCTCCATGTAGCTTATAGCACCTAGTGGGTGCCTCAGGATTCCTTACTCTCACAGAGAATATTGTCTGCCTGGTAACACTGAAATTTGAGTAGTTCAGTTCAGAGTTACCAGTGCCTCTTCTTCCAGACTGGATTTAACAATAAAGTACTTTCCTGCCTTTGTGAGATACTGAATAAGTAAGATGTGTATATGTAAACAAACTAGGGAGAGCCCTTTTGTGGGCTTTGTAACTTCTTTGGATTCTTGTCTGTAAAGGGCTCTTCTTGCTGATTTAGTGAGCTAGGAGAAAGAAAAAAGTCAATTTATCTTTTGTATTCATGTTATGACATCTACATTCTATCAAACTGTTTGCACTTTTTAGGATGAACGATTTCCCAAAGGTACTGGACTGGAATCAGGGACTCGTATCCAATCTGTTCTTTGTTTACCAATTGTCACTGCAATTGGTGATCTGATTGGTATCTTGGAGCTTTATCGGCACTGGGGCAAGGAAGCCTTCCATCTCAGTCACCAAGAGGTGAGGCCTAAACTGCTGCAGATGGTTCCCAAAGACATTCCCCACCTTAAACGGGGTGTCAGATATTCCTGACCCAGAACTTCTTCTCTGCCCCCTGCCCATCTGCTTTTTATTTTCTTATATTTTGATTTTTTGTTGTTGATAAAAATGGGTATTCTTAGTGGCAAATGGTAATAATCATTTTCTACCCATAAGTACATTGGGCATCTCACATTTTTCTAACTGTTTTATTCCATCCTGTGGGAAAATAATTTCAAGCATGCCATTACCATTTATTTATTGAATAAGGGTTTAGAAATAACAAATGTTGTAAGCTCCATTCTAGAAGTGTAGGTTCATGAGAGCTCCTGTTGTTACAAATGCAAAATGAAATTGCTCTTACTGAAAAGAGGTATTGCCAGTTAACTTATATTTCAATTTTAACTTTTCTATGAAGCCATATTGTGCTGTATGGCAAAGTCTCTTTCTTCACTAGTTGACTCTTTGAAAACTTTCATCCCATTGAATAATTTCTGTCAATAAAGCCGCATTTCAGGAAAATCCTACACTTACGTTTGTGTGTACAAGTTGTGCTTGTGTTCTTTGATTTATCTTCATGTTTGGCAATTACTTTACATTAATCACTACAACTAATAATTCATGAATGTCCTATTTAAAAAAAATGGTAATGTTGCCTGAAGTATTTTATCAGTACATCTTTAAAATAAGGATTTAGGTATGTACTGTCAGGTTCCTTTCAATTACATTTTTCAAAAAGTTTTAGAGCGCGTGTACAAGTTAAAAATAGGTAGAGTATCTTCCATAGAGGAAAAGGGGTATGTTAATAGAATGTATGGCAGTGGACCTTCAGCAGTGTTCTATTAAGTTTGTTCCCAGCAAAATCTCAATGCTTCAAGGACAGGAGATGATTCGTGGTAGTGCATTTTATTTAAACTTAGTTAACTGCAGTTTACACAGCAGTAGTGTGAAATGTTGCCTTGACATATATACCTGAAACAGTAGTCTTGTATTTAGTGTTCACATTTGATTCTTCTGCAACTAAAATGGTAGTGACAGGAGTATTTGTTTACAGCAAAGGTTTTTTCTTGGAAGTATTTGTTGCTGAATGAAGGCATCATTATTGGTACTATTTCGTTGTGATGGGTTATTTAATTGTATGACAGAAGCATGTTAACAGCGTACCTTATGTAATTTTTAAAGCCCCTCTTGCAATCCAGGAAGGGCTGCTTCTGCCCTTATTATACTGCCATGTATATTACGCTGCCATTATTAGATGGTTGAGTCCTCGTGCCCCTTCTCTGCAACTCAGTTGATTAAAAAGTTGTGATAGTACAAAACAGTCGAGCAGTACTTTTTGTACTGTTGCTTCCTTGTGACTGGAATACTTTTTCTTAAAAGTAAAGTACTAATAGACAAGTTACTTTCCCCAAATTAATGTACTTTCCCTAAATGAATTGTCTACCTATAACCATAGTTCCATGTCTTGTCTGAAATATCTCAGCTGAAAAATGTTTAGGGTATTTAAAGGTACTTAGAAGTAGATTGAGAAAAAGCTGATGAAATTGGCTCAGACGTTAAAACTTCTCATCTTTTCTTTAGGTTGCAACAGCAAATCTTGCGTGGGCTTCAGTAGCAATACATCAAGTACAAGTAAGTCTGTTTTTTTTCATAGCTTCTTAAAGGGAGCATAGCATAAATCTAGAAATCATGGAGATTATTTTATGGTGTAGAAGGTTCAAGGCAGTAGAAGACTTGATTTCTCTAGTCTTCCTGTAAATCTCAGTGCTCATACAAGTAATATACTGAGGTAAATTGTATGCCTAATATAAAATGAATATGAAATTGGGTACTTGCAGCTCTTCAGTGTGAGAGACACATTTGAAGCTAGACACCCCAGCCTGTTTTCTTTTTGATACATTTTACACAGTGTTATAATACATAGGTAATTTGCAATTGTATATTTTTATGCAGATTAGGCAAGTAGAAAACGTGTTCTAAAAATTTCACTCGACTCCAGTGATCTTCTGAAACAATAGTATATATGTTCTCTTTTCCTCCAGGTGTGCCGAGGTCTTGCCAAGCAGACTGAACTGAATGACTTCCTGCTCGATGTATCAAAGTAAGTGTGATTTGCTCTAGTTACAGGCTTTTTAAATTTTGTCCCTTTTTTCCCCTTTTATTTTGTATTTTTGCGCTTCCCCTCCATTGTCCTACTTGGTTGTGGGTTTCCTCTCTCCATTTAATATTCATTTAGAAATGTATTTAATGATGTTTGAGGTTTTCTTTTGCACACTGTAGGACTTAGAATTCTGTTTTATTCATTATACATACAATAAATATTTTTGATGAAGAGATCCTGACTGTGTTCATTGTGTCATCATTTTCAAACTAAAGACATTGCCATCCATTTTACTGCTGCCTTGTAGAAGGACATAAGATACTTTGTGATTGGAATGAGTCTACAGGACAATTCATTCTTTTTTTTATCTTTGTTAAAATGTTTATATGGGATTCAAATTAGTCTCTATAATTAAAATAGTTGTTTAACAGGAAAAATAGGCAAAGAAATTGTAAACGCATGTAATATAACCAAGTTATTGGAGCCAGAGTTGACATTTATGGGCCTTTGTGAGCGTACAACTCTTTATGCTAGGTCATTTGGGGCTGTTTTTTGCATTTAGTTTCTTTGTTTATTTTAAACCTAGAAAGGTGGAGAAAATAACTACTTTTAATATGCTTACTAGTTAAACAGTGCCATTCTGGCTTTGATTTCTACATTACATTAAATTGTGAAAACAAAAATAAATAATTGTATTTGCAAATGTCTGTTGGAATTACTTGGTTTATACTCTTGTTTTCCTTTAATCCACAATCGTCCTTTCTGTCTAACATTAAAAATGATCTGCTACTAAAAGATCAAAAATTGAATTTGTATGTCATTTATGATGAACATTTGTAGATGAAATAATTTTATTTGTATTTCTTTACAAAAAGTTTTACAAGATGGTGGTCTTTTACCATAAGACTGGTCTTTCTTGTTTTTTCCAGGGGCTCTATTTACATGCTCAAAGTATCATACGCATGTGGTACTTTTTTTCTTTTATTTGTCATGACAAATGCATATCTTAATTTGAAAACCCAGAAAAATTATTCTGAAAAATGGAAGTTTTGGTTACTTTGAAATCAGTATACATGTTTTCAGTTATCTGCTTATTGATCATCTCTTTATTCCCTATACATATTATCAAACCTTTAAACAATGGAGGCAAGGGGTGATCAATAAATGAAAATACAAAATGCTAATAAAGTTACAGGTGTTGTAGTCTATACCACGCAGCTCTATAAGACTTCATTATTCTGAAGAAACCCTATGGGTGACTTAAAGGATTGAGACTACATGTAAATAGATCAATGCAGTGTATTCAAGGCCTGTCGTGGTTAAGACTTGTGACTGGTCTTAAGGACTATCAGAGAGAGCAAGAACAACTAGGATTCCTATCAGAAAGCCAGACACTTCATTCATCTTCTTTATCATGGTGATTGATAGTAAATCTGAGGGAGGCAGCTAGTATTTGCTCTGCTGCTTTCACTTGACACTTTTAATCTCAGCCAGAGCCCATAGTGGATCCCTTTGGCACTGTAGTCCTTCCCTAGCCAAAATTATCCACTTAGGCAATAATATTCCCTGAGACCCCCACCAGAATAAGGGCTATAGTTGTGTTGCACTGTTGTCACTTCCTCCAGGTAACCTTTTCCCACTAGGGAAACTATTCCGTTAGAACCGTCAGCAAATCTAACCGCACTTTCTCATACATCAGCAGATGCATGACAAATAGATCCAAGGAGGTGATACTTCCTCTGTATGCAGCATTGGTCAGACAGTAGTTGGAGTACTGCGTCCACTTTTGGGCACCACACTTTAAGAAGGATGTTGATAACCTTGAGAGCATCCAGAGGAGGGCCGCTCGTGTGGTTAAGGGTTTGCAGACCAAGCCCTATTAGGAGAGACTAAGGGACCTGGATCTTTTCAGCCCCCGCAAGAGAAGGCTTAGAGCCCTGGCTCCCACCCACTGTGCCACCTTGTCCCTTGGAGTAGGAGGAAGAAGCAAAAGCCAAGCAGGGCAAGGAAGCAGTGGCCAGGCAAGAGCCCACAAGCCACATGTTAACCCCTTGCAGGCTGCCAGTTGGAAAGCCCTGCATTCCACTAAAACCTTTTTGAAAGTACTTCTTACTTTTAAATATTTTAACATTTAAAATAATGTTATATATTATTTTAATGCTGGGGATTTTAAAGTACATAAATATGATACAAGCTATCAATGGCTAGGAATATCTCTATTGGCATCTAAAGAAAAAAGAAAAGCAAAACATATTTCCATCCACAAAACTGAGAACTTGTGGAAGGAACTGTACACACAGATCAGTGCTAGCTACAAAAGTAGTTAACATAGTTTGTCTTTAAAAATGGTCTGCACATTATATTTTATGGAAAGAAAGTTCCCTATTCAATGAGGAAATTGTTGGCAAGCACAGTCATTAGGATATTTTCCCTAAGGCTTCAGAAAGGGTGCAGAATACTTTAATTGCCCTACATCTTCATGCAGTTTTTGGAAATGTAAGACTAATTTATTACGTATTTTCTTTCTGTTCAGCCCAAAACAGAAGTGAGCTGTATATGTGTTCAAGGCCATGGGGTAACATCTTTCTGTGCTGGGAACATTGTAATCCAAAAGTTATTAAGTCTGGGCACACAGAAGATTTAGACATCTTGTACTAATAATTTTGACCCTTATCTTTCAATGCTTTTGACCGTCCTTGGACAGTTACCACTTCATAGAGAGAGAAATCAGTTCTACTTTCTTGCAGCCTCAAGGTCGGTCTTTCTCTCCAGCCACAACATGCAACACCTGGGTTAATAGAGAATAGCCATTAAGTGTTTTCTAAATTGTGCTAAAGCAATCTAAGAAAGATTATTTACAGACTCTGTATCTCTTTTTCTGCAGAACCTATTTTGATAACATAGTCGCAATAGATTCTCTACTTGAACATATAATGGTAAGCTATCTGCTTTCACCTTTAAATTCATCTTTCAGAGGATGGTCAGACATAATAGTTACACCAGTAAAACTGGGATCCCACTGTAACTTATGTTTTTGTGCTTCTATAGTAGTGTAAGTGGAGCAAAACCATTGCAACTGTTACTGTTTTCATTCAGGGTTAAAGGTACAGTGATTTATCTTGCTTATCCCACTATAGGAGCAGGCAGATATAATTGTTAAATAGAAACAACTAATGCACCATCATAAGTAGCAACTCCTTTTCCCCTTTTAAATTGGTTGAAACTTATGCCTCTCCACAGCCTCAGTTTTGTTTTCTTTGAATTGAAATGCAGCATTGTTGAACTTCATAAGCTGTTTATAATGAATTAGTAACATGCAATGCTGGGGATGCTGTATATGAAAAAAGAGAGTGAGTGAGTGTTACGTTGGTTTTATCACAGAACCTACATTTCTCAGCTTTCCTAAGTACCACAGAGTAAGTGTTGATTGGGTTGTTAGACAAAAAGAATATTTTAACTTTGGATGGGGAAGGAAAGTTTTTTTTTCTTTTTCATTTCATTTCGGCCTCTCCTTTTATTGATTCTTTTAAATCACTGTACACTGCATAGACATCATTCAAAAGCAATGGCAGTCCAGGACAGAGGAAATTGTCTGTGTGAGGCCATGAGGAAATAGTGAACATTACCATAAAAGTGTTTGTTTCAGTTACAGGGTGATATGTACAAAAGAATCATCATATCCCAGTTAGGATATAAAATGATTAAGTTTCCATAATTATGGAGCTGCACAGTCATTACAGCTTGCTGAACAGAAATAAGTAAAAAAATGTTTGGTCGGTGAATTGCACTTTTTTAGTTCAGGAACAAATCACAATTTTCTAGAATTTGGTCATTATTTGAAGTTATTCACTAAACAGCTTCCACAAACGTCAATGAGTGTGGTGATAGCTTATTCAGAATACTCTTTGATTGATTGAAATTGCTATTTAGTTTTGGACATATTGCATAGCATGCTTTTGTTCCCTGTTTGGATAAATGTAACTCTGTAATTTTTTTGCTTTTGTACTAATACTTGTTTGATAGCAAATTTAAATATAAAACCTCCAGTGTTTGCCCAAATCCTGTCAATGATATTGATAGCTAGAATATTTACAAAAAGCAAACATGCCAAGAATGCACATAATCCAAAGCAAATTTGTTTAGAAATCTGAATTAATATTTATGAAAATGGTTTCTCAGTATTTATCGAATTTAGTTACTATGGCAGGCAAGAATTGCTGTTTTCTTTGCATAAGAAACATTTCTCAGTTTCAGGAGCTTTGTCCTTTCCTATGTACACAAATTGCTTAACAGCATTGTTTAACCTTTGAAAAGAACTGCAGTAATATAATACAGCATTTAATGGCAGACAATAGTATTCTTTCCTATGAACAGGCACCAGGTGGAAAATACACACATGGCAATACCATATGCTTTTTCTTTCATGTTCCTTCACAACACCTGCTATCTCAGCATTCTGCTGGATCGCTTGCCTAGATGCTTCACACTCAACTTCCTTTGTAGTCCATGCCAATTTGCTGCTGCTTGATTGATCCGCTAGTTTGGACTTCCACTGAAATTCTTTTGATTATACCATTTGTATGAGAATCAACCTCCTGTCCCTAGTCCAGATCCTGGTGATTTGCAGTGCAAGATTTGGCTTGTCCTTGTGTCAATGATAGTAGCATTTTTCTACTTGCTTCTCTTTTCATCTCTTGTATCTTTTACTGAAACTTTTCAATGAATTTAGTTCTGGTAAAAAGTGTTGGATTGGAAACACTTGAAAGTAAAGATTTAACTACAGAAGAGGTGCAGGGTGAGAAGCAGGAGTGCAAGTTTCCCCACAAACTACTTCACAAGTAGATTTCAGTACAGTACTGGTGATCTGTAGAGAGTTAGGAAGTAGTTTGGTCCCTTTTAGTATCTGGCTTCTCAAAGAAAGCCTTGCATAGAATCATAGAAAATTAAGATTGGAAGAGACCTCAGGAGGTCATCTAGTCCAACCCCCTGCTCAAAGCAGGAACATCCCCGACTGTATTATCCCAGACAAGGCTTTGTCTAACTGGGTCTTGAAAACCACCAAGGATGGAGAGTCCACCATCTCTCAAGGTAGCCCATTGCAGTGCTTTGCTACCCTCATGAGAATGTGTTTTCTAATACCTAACCTAAACTTCCCTTGTTGCAACTTGAGAGCATTGCTCCTTGTTCTGTCATCTGTCACCACTGAGAACAATCTAGCTGCATCCTCTTTGGAACCACTGTTCAGGTAACTAAAAGCTGTGATTAAATCCCCACTCAATCTTCTCTTCTCCAAGCTAAATAAGCCCAGTTCCCTCGGCCTCTCCTCAAGTCCTGTGCCTCACCCCCTAATCATTTTCACTGCCCTCTGCTGGACTCTCCAATTTGTCTACATCCTTTCTATAGTGGGGGACACAAAACTGGACACAGTACTCCAGATGTGGCTTCACGAGTGCTGAAAACAGGGGAATAATCACTTCCCTCATTTTGCTGGCAGCACTCCTACTAATGTAGCCCCGTATGCCATTAGCCTTCTTTTCAACCAGGACACACTGTTGGTTCGTATTTAGTTTATTGTCTACTACAATCCCCAGGTTCTTTGCTTCAGAGCTGCTGCTTAGCCAGTTGGTCCCCAGCCTGTACCAGTGCATGGGATTGTTCTGAACTAAGTGCAGGACTTTGTAATTGTCCTTATTGTACCTCATAATTTTTTCTTTTGGTCCAATCCTCAAATTTTTTGAGGTCTCTCTGAATCCTAGCCCTACACTCCAGCATATCTACTACTTCCCCCAGCATGGTGCCATCTGCAAACTTCCTGAGGGTGCACTCTATCCCACATTCCAGGTCATTGATGAAGATATTGAATGAGACGGACCCAAGGACTGACTACTTGATACCACCTGTCAAGTAAACATCAAGCCATCTATTATTACCCTTTGAGCCTAATGATCCAGCTAGTTTTCTTTCTACCCTACAGTACATTCATTCAACTTGTATTTCCTTAGCTTGCTTGCAGGAATGTTGTGGGAGACCAAATGAAGCTTGCTGAAGTTGGGAGCCTTGCTAAAGTTAATGTATCCTTTGGCAATCCTGTTAATCTCCTGTTCCCCAAGTAGTAGCTTTTTAAGGAGGAAGGTTTGATAAAAATAGGCACTGACATAAAGTAAATCAAACCCTTTTGAATTTTTTTTTTAGTATCCAGTCCTATATAAAGCATCAGGATGGTTTCAGAAGGGATATGTGGAAACCTTCTGTATTGTAGTCCCAGCCATTGCCAATGCAGTTTAGATTAGGTGATCTGTTTTGAATGAAGAAAGAAATAATGAGACTGGCCATACTGTTTACCTTTCATGGAGGGGAATGGTACACTGGGCCAGGTTCCCAAACTTAATTCTTTCCCTTTGACATCATTCTGATGGCATGAAAAATCTAGAAAGCAGCTGGGTCTCTACAGCTGTGTATTCTTGCAGTGTGGGGGAAGTCTCCAGCTGGTGTTGTGTTCATATAGGTGGCTTCTGTGTAGCAGTCAATGTAAAGGGCAGCATTAGAGCTGGTTAATATCTGGTTTTCCATCCTACAAAAAATGTCAGGATTCCACAATCTATTTTCCTATTTAATATTAGGATAAAACCAAGACCTCTTTGAGTTTTTTTTGCGAAAGCTACAATGGGGAAAATAAAGAGAAATAGTTTGTGCACTTGCACAAGATATAGAAAATGCAGGTTTAAGTCCCTGCATTCCTGACATCTAGCCAAGTGCCTAACAATGGTGTTTAATCAGTCTCACACTCTGACTCAACAAATACGTAATGGAATGACTCCAGCAGAAGATATTAGTGAAAGGCACCACAGAATATCCTTTAGGGTGGTGGTTAAGGTACTCTCCTAGTAGGTAGGTAACTGAAATCTTCCCGAATTATGCAGAGTCATAATTTTAGTCTTATGCTTCTCAAGCAAGTGCACTTGCCCTTGTCTGTTCTTGGTTTTCTCCCTCCTATGTTTTGAGCAATAGCTGTCCTGTGTCTGAGAAACCTTCAAAAGGCAGGTTTTGATGACATTGTGAGATTCATTTCTAGTGAAGCAGCTTTGTCTGGCCAAGAAAAAAAAATCATTAGAAATTTCTTGAAGAGTTTTAAATAGGATGGAAAAAATGCAAGAACACTCTTACTAGCAAGTGATGCTTTATACACTGCAGTTATCTGGCACAGAATCAAGGAGTTGCAACCAGGTATGTTGTAGCCAAGGTTGTGTCCAGTGAATATAGATGCTGCTGAGAACATGTTGCATAAATGCTACTTTTGCCTCTTTAGGAACAGATCCTAGCCTCAGAATTGCACCATTCTCCAGAGAATGTTTAATATATGCAAAACATGCATAACAAAAACGTGTCAAAATGTAGAGCTCTTAAAATATGGTTCATTTGTCTAATGTAAGCGGACATATACGGGGATGTTTTTGGCACTGGCAATTCCAGTATTGTAAGTAGGTGTGAGTGACTAGGGCATGAGACCTGGGCACTGATTTTAGGGGAAGGCGAGGGAAGGAGGAGGGGGTGGGCATGTTGGACTGGCAGCTGGAGGCTTATATTTGATACGAGCTTACTTTGGGACTGTTAGCTTCAGCCACGTAGATCAGAAGCAAGAGTCTCCTTGTCAGCTTCACTACCCCTGCCTCCACTATGCAGCTACCAGCGACTGCATTTACCCTCTCACAGGTGCAGCCTAAATAAGGCTTTTACAGTCTTGTTCTACATGACATAGGTCAGTGGCAGCTGGTAGTTGTTGCAACAGCAACATCTAAGGAAGAGGAGTGAGGGCATAATAGCTGGCCCTAATCCCTACAGCCCTGGGGTCACTGTCCTGCAGTCCCTTACCCACATTGTCCCCTCAACCCCATTTTTCTGCACTCAGCTCAGCCCCCAATCCTCATCCTCTACTTTGCCTAGGGCACAGAAATAGCTAGCTATCCCTCTGGACAAAGCAAATCAGGAGGAAAAGGTCACAGGTGTGTTTGTTTTGTCCAGCTCATTCAAGTTTGGTGGAGGCTCCTGTAGCACAGTTTTGACTTCTGCTCTTTAAATCCTTTTAAAATTTTGGTTAGGTTCATTACTACTGGATGTTAGGACATCTGTGTCTTTACTGTAGAAGCTTGAAACTATATACACAAGGCCTTGCATTTGCATAAGGGGAATATGCATCCATCATATGTATACTTTGGTAATCTGTATTCTCAGATGTCATAATATAATTTATTTTATACGCAATATCAAATTCTTTGACTTCATAATGTTGTGACTTTTTTCTGTGCAAACGAATACACTGATTTCTGTGCTACACAATACATTTGAGAAGCATCATACTATAATAATACTTCTTTACACATGCTTATAATCAGGCAGTATTATACATTTGAATAGTCAGTGTACACTTGCCTTGCTTTTTTTTATTTGTTGCAAACTAATTTTCTAAAAAGTGACCCCACATGCTATCTTGCAAGAAGTGTGTGGGAAGTCTTAAATGGTTCTTATTTGAAGTGAGAGGGGGAATTCCAGAGCTGACACTTTCACTCCATCCTTAAGTTACCCTGTTTTGTCTGGATATTTCAGAACTGTTTGAAAAGCATATTGGTTATATACCTGATAAAGTACTTGAGACTGTATATGCCAAGTTATTTCTCAAGGTTTGTGCAGTTCAAAAGTTAGATGTGTTTTTGGCTCAATGAGTTTTGTATGAGCTCCTGTAACGTATACACAGATAAGGATAGGGTAAAGGTGAATCTCGAGTCCAGACCACCTTGTTTTAAATAAAGTATTTAAGTTATAACCTAAATTGTTGTGGCTAGGAAGAAATCTTGTGGAAACAGGTCTTTGTGTTGGAATAAGCTGTTAAAGCTTTAATACTTGAAGGGCTTATCTTCTTTTACAGACTAGTGACTGAAGTTCATCTGAACCTCATGAAGATTAATTTTAGATTTGTTCTCTATCTGTAGATATATGCAAAAAACCTGGTGAATGCAGATCGGTGCGCACTCTTCCAGGTTGATCACAAGAACAAGGAGCTGTACTCAGATCTTTTTGATATCGGAGAAGAAAATGATGGGAAACCTGTCTTCAAGAAGACCAAAGAAATAAGGTAGGAGCAGCAAAAGAATGCAACTGCATTGTAATGAGATGTGCAGGTATTCGGTTATCCAGTGTCTATGCCTATTTGCAGGTACCCTGACAATACTTGTCATACTGTGATATCATTCCCACCAGGACCCGCCTCCAGAAGGTAGTACTTCTGGGAATGACATTGCAGTGCCATCGAAACAACGTCTCTGAAGCTTTAACGTCACTCCTGGAAATGCCGTCTTCCGGAGGCGGTCCTTTTGGAAATCATGTTGGAAAAAAACACTTGTGCTCAAAGGTAGGTAAAGGTGCAGGTGTGAAAATAAACCACCTATCCACAGTTCTGCAAGTCAAGGATTTTTATTCGAGCTCTCAAGATCTATCAGGCAAATTCTAATGGACAATTGTTTTTGGTGGATTAGACATTCCCAAAAAAACTAGTGTGAGCTTATCAATCCTTTTAAAATTTTCAGTCAAAGGACTCTTAGTTTAGTTTCTTACTGCTGCAGTTGCTTTTTTTGTATACTCAGTTTGTATACTTAATTTTGAGTATCTAGTTGGTTCTAACTTGAATAATTGTGATTTTAAAGTCTGCCTGGTTTGGTCATTTCTAAACATTACAAGGGTTGAAATGTGGATACATGGGATCCTCTGATTCTTTAAAACTGACTCATCCTCCTGACTTGCCATGATTTTGTGTACACACATTCTTAGTGAAAAAACAGCCAGAATGACAAGCTCAATTTAAACAAAATGATAATTGCTGTAATATCTTTCATCTAGAAGACTCTCTAAAATATAAAAGTTGACATTTTCAAGCCAATATTGGGAATTTGGGCCCTCGTCTTTCTAAAGATGTATGACTAAATCCCCTGCATTAAGCATGCCAAACATAAAATACATACACACACATCTAAAGCACTTCACTCAGCAGTGAAACTTTGCAGTGATTTATTTAATTGTTTCTATGCATTTTTAAAGTTCTAGGCCAGTATCAGAGATGATTCATAAGGGGATGTAAGATGCATTCTCTCACCCTCAGTTTGACTCCCTTAGACTGATTTACTCCCACTCTTTACATTGTGTGAGTGAGTATAAGGGAGTCTAAATTGATGCAATTTACATATTGAGGAGCAAGGAGGTGGTATAAATTAAAGAAGGGGGTGGCTTGCTTTAACTTATACTTTCTAACTCCTGCCTGATGATTGCCTTTTGTGCATTTGTACACTTCTCTCTCCTTTCTCCTGAATGTGAGAATTAAACACGTTTTGACACTCAGTGTAATGGAGTATGTGAGCCATGTCCAAGGGTGATGGATAAGGAGACAAGACTATCAGTTACATGTGTAAGAATGTAAAAGTGAGTCAGTCATTCTGAGAGAGACTAGGCTGGTGTTGTGAGAGTAAGCAAAAGAGTGGGTAACTCCTGCTGACTGAAACATCTAGGCATTCTGGGTGAAATTCTAGCCCTGATAAAACAAGTATAAGTTTTGCCATTAACTTCAGTGAGGCCACGTTTCCACCCACTTTGACTTTCATATGGATATGCTCCCCTTTTGAATTTTCCCTGCTTGTTCTTATATTAACTTTATGGTATTTGCATGATTCAACCTCAGTATGCTTTATGTGCCTTGGTTTCATTATAGGACATCTGTAAGATTCTGTCAGCACTTAGTGCAGCTTAGCTTAATATAAAATGAAGTTTCTCAGTTAATTTTAAGATCTTCATGGCCCAGTGCATATGAATTCCATCCTGGAAATTTTCCCTTAACTTACTCCAAATTGATCTCTTTTTCAAAGAGGCGCCTTACATGGTGTTTGTTTCTAAAATATTCAACATGTAAGAGATTGTAAAGAGAGCTGCTGGCCTGAACATTAGTCAGAAGACTTTCTATCAGTGTAATTAAATAGCAGCATGACAGGTCAGAAAACTCTAGCCTAAATAGGGACAAAGATCCCTTTCAAACCAAAATGAGCTGATATATGGGAATATTTGTTTCTAACTCTAGAATCACAGAATTAAAGTCACCTCAAGTATCATCTACTCCAGAGGTGGGCAAAATACAGCCCTCAGGCTGGAGTCAGCTCGCCAAGTGATTCTATCCAGCTCATGGTGGGTCCCTCAGCCCCACTCAGCCTAGGCACAGGGGCAGCCCAGGCCTTGGTGCATGTAGCTGGTCCCACTGCCCCAGGCATGGAGGTGCCACCTGGCGCAGAGCGCAGCCTGCCCTTTCCCCGCATGTGGCAGCCAGACTTGACTTTCCGGCAGTCCTTGTGGCAGCAGTCCCTCTGCCCTCACACTTCCAGCTGCCGCTGCCAATGTCTCTGCTGCCACCACCAGACCCAGCACCACTGCCCAGGCACTCTGGCACATCTGCCCTGCATCTACTGCTATGGGCACCGGACCATGGAGACTGGCCCAGGACCCTGGCAGGCAGGGCGTGCTCAGCCAGGCAGTTGGGATGGGGCCACGGGCAGGCAGGGAGCAGCATCCAGGAGTGAGATGGGATCACAGGGCAGTGACAGCACGGGCCCATAGCAGAACTGAAATCCACACCTACCCCTCCCACTGCACTCCACCGACCCTCAATGGCTCATGAAAACTTCTTAAGTGGCTGTCCAGCCCAAACAATTGCCACCCTTGGTCTACTTCATCCTGCTCTCCCACATACAGGATTTGCTCTGCCTTCCCCATCACAGACAGATGCTTATTCAGCCTTCTCTTGTAAGCTTCTAGTGAAAGAGATTTTACAGCTTCCCTAAGCAGTTTGTTTTATTGTCCTACTCTTGTCAGCTAAGAAATTTTTCTGGGATTTAATGTGTTTTGCTGTAGCTTAAACCCACTGCCTCTTGTCCTACCCTGTGTGGTAGTGAAGAGCGTTGTTTTCTCCCTCTCCTTGTGGCAGCTGTTTAAATATTTGAGGACTATCCAGTTGCTTTTCATTTTCTTTTCTCCTAACTGAACATGTCTTCATCCTTCAACCTTTCATCACATGGCTTGCATTTTAACCTCTTTATCATCCTTGTCAGTTGCTCTCCAATTTCTATACATTGTTCCTAAAATGTGGTGTCCAAAACTAGACACAATGATCTATCTAAGGACTAATCAGTGTCAAGTATACTGGTACTATTACATTCCATGTCTTGCATACAGTAGCTCTGTTAATGTAACCCAAACTTGTATTTGAATTTTTTTGAGACCCGAATCACTTCATTTACTCATGATGAGTTTATGATCCACCGCAATTCACAGATCCTTTTTGGTAATGCTACTGCCAAGTCATTTAGTTAACTCTTATTCTGTATTGGTTCCTTTTAAGTTTTCTTCTCTATGTGTCATCAAAAAATTTCATTGAGATATTCCCTATTCCTGCATTCAAATCACTAGCAAAATGTTAAATAGTACAGGACTCAGAAGAGACCCCTATAAGACCTCACCTGAGACCTCACTTCTCTCTGACATTGATTCATTAATAGTTACTGGACACATCAACACAACATGTGTCCTGCAGGGTTGCCTAATTAGCTCCACAGTAAACATCTTGGTGTCTACACGTGTGGCCCTATTAGATCGCAGGAAACTAATAGACTCCACAGCAGGTTAGTATGTGTAAATATAAGTACTATCCTACTGTGGAGTTTTTTTTCATGTGCAGCACCACATGTGTAGATGTTGATGGCACTATCTGGGGCACGAGAATGCTTCAGTGCATGGGCTGCCTGCCAGCTAGTGTGGCACTGGATCACCCTCACGCCCTAGCCAGCCCCTCCTTAGCACATTGAATCGGGTCAGAGCAGCCTTAGGCTGGCAAGCTGACCTCTGTGGCCACCTGCCAGCTGGGGCTGCTTTGACCCAACTCAACGTGCTGCAGTCCTGGGTGCACATGTAAATGCAGTGCCTGAGAGCAATAAGCTCCAGAGCGATAGATGCCAGAGTTTATTGCTGCGCGTTGATATGCACATGTAGACTCATCCATTCTTTGTTTACTGTTATTCTGTCAGTTATATATCAACCTGATTATTCTATCTAGTCCACATTTGTCTATCTTATATATGAGAATAGCATGTGGAACTATGTCAAACACCTTACTAGAGGCCAGATATATTATTGCCATTTCATTCCTCTTTTCAACCAAAACAGTTGCTGTGCCCGAGAAGAAAAGCAAGTTGGCTTAGCATAATTTATTCTTAACAAATCTATTTGGCTGCTGCTGTTTTTCTCAATTTTCCATATATTTACAACTTGGCTGTTTTTATAATTTGCACTCATACCTTCCTTTTTGACAAGCTTTAGTTAAAGCACCCCGCCTCTATTTTGAAGTGCAGAGATACTGAATACATGAAACATGGAGGCTGCTGGAACGCACTAATTAGCATGCTCCAGCAGACTCAATTAATCGAATTTGATCCCATTGCTGTAATTAACTGTACATGTCTATATATCTGCAGGCACCCCTGGAGCTCATCCTGTCAACTCTTGCTATCTTAATTTAATTCAAATTGGTTACTTCTCTGATAAGGTCTTTATTTATTGTAATAGTCATCCTTTCCCCTTCTTTGTTTATATTAATTTTACTATTTGTCTGTTTTTCAAGGTGGTGTGTTTGGCTTTTTTATTGCTTTTTTTCTTAGGAAGACTAAAGTAAGAAAATTAGGCAAGGATAAGCATTGAGCAGCTCTGCCACCTTCTCATTTTTTTTTTGTTAACAGTTCATATTCTCAGTTGAGGGCTGGAACTGTTGTCTCCCTGTTCTTTCTTGTCACTGTTTCAATCATTTCTTTCCAGTTTAAATTTGTTCTTCTCCTTTGCTTTCCTTTGTTGTTACCTCTTCGTGCTATTTCTTTTGTAGATTTCCTTAGTGACACGCTCTTCCTTTTGTTGCCTATATCTATCTTCCTTTGATTTTCAGATAGCCAAAAATTTCCTTTTGCAGCCATATCAGTCTGTTGTCATTCTTCTAATTTTTTTCCTGCCATGGAACAGCTTGAAAATGATCCTCCAATATTACATCCTTTAGGAACTACCAACCCTCTTGAATAATTTTGTTGTCTTTTTATCCAGGGATAAACCTACTGTTTACCTGACTTGGTTGAAATCTGCCTTTTTTAAGTTCAATGCCTGTGTTGTGAAGCTCTTATGTCTGTCTTCCTTGAGAATCATTAATTTTATCATGATCACTTCTTCCCATATTTCTGACCACCTTCATATGCATGATTTCATGACATTTGCTCAGAAAGAATTCCAAAATATATGACCCCCTAACTTTTTCTTCAGCTTTTCAAATGAGAGAGTTGTCTTTTACGTGCATTAAAAACTCCATGGGTATTTTATGCTTTACCATATTTTTCTTTCAAAAGATGTCATAGAAGTTTAGAATCCAACAACATGAGTGTACATGTGTGTACGCACACCCACATATACATTCAGTAAATATTTTCACTCACACACAATATATATGTGTGTATCTGTTTATCCCAACAAGATGTTTTCAGTAAATATTTATATTACTTATAATAAGTACTTCTGTTTGTTTAATATTTTTCTTCTATTAAGGACTGTTGAATTAAATTGATTTGGGCCACATGTAATCAGTATGTCCAAGGTAGCCACAGATGGAAAAATGTTTATTCCAGCTATTCATATGCTGATTGACATGTCTCTTTAATATGTGCAGATTTTCTATTGAAAAAGGAATAGCTGGTCAGGTAGCAAGAACAGGTGAAGTCCTTAACATTCCCGATGCCTATGCAGATCCACGCTTTAACAGGTAAGAAACTCTTCAGTTTCAGCTACAAAAAAGAAAAATCAAGACTCCAAGTCTTTTACTTAATTTTCCATTCAAATTTTGGATTAGAACATGTTCATTGAATTATACTGTCTTGAAGAGAGATGCCTGAGATTTACTTTTTCTGCAGACACTAGTTTTATGAGCACATTCTATAAAAATAATCTCAGGTCTCTTACACAAAAGAATTGAGAAGGATTTAATTATTGTTTTCTTTGATGGTACTTTGCATAGCTAAGTGGACTTTGCTTACTTTAACATTATTAAATTGACTGTAACATGATTAATGTGTTCCAACAAATTAAAAAATAGCCAGCTCAAAAATATTCATAAAAATATGTTCTGTGAGTTTAAGAATGAGGTGACTATTGTTTTAACTTTAAATGGATATTGTAGGAATTATGAAGTATTTTCTGAAAATAATTTATGAATTTATTTGAATGTAGAGTAAGTAAACTTTATGTAGGTACCGGTTATATTTATGTAACATTATTCGGTACAGCATAGAAAGAAGGCATGGATATTAATATTCTTTGTCTCTTCTTTCTTTCTTTCTTTCTCTCTTACACACCTCTCCAGAGAAGTAGACCTCTACACAGGCTACACAACCAGAAACATTCTGTGCATGCCTATAGTGAGCCGAGGAAGTGTGATAGGTGTTGTGCAGATGGTGAACAAAATAAGTGGAAGTGCCTTCTCTAAAACAGATGAGAACAACTTTAAAATGTTTGCAGTCTTTTGTGCTTTAGCCTTACACTGTGCTAATGTAAGTTTTCTCATTTAAAGCTTCATATAACATATATTTCTTTTTTAATTCCGTCAACTACTGGTTAGAATATTTATGGAGTTAGAATCAGTTTGGGATTCTTCTGGTTGCACCTAATTTCCAGATCATTAAAATGACTAGTAATTCTATTTTATTGAATAACAAAGCAACAGTTAGCATTTGATTCTTTCATAAATAGGGACCTACCAAATTCACGGTGGGAGTAGGATGCACAGCAGCTCCTTGAATTTTGTAGGTTTCCCCTGTGCGCCGACTCCGCCCCCCACATCCCAACCCATGTTGATTGGTGCAGGGGCCCTGCTGCTCATCACTCACTCCTGATCAAAGGGGAGGCAAAAACTGCAGTTTTAAATATGGTACTGTTTTTTGCCACTCACCACTGATTGGCTGAGGGGCCCTGGCAGCCATGCTGTTTGTTGCTGACTGGCCGGGAGGCAAAAACAGCATTGTATTTAAAACTGTGTTTTTTGCCTTCCAGCTGATCAGGAGTGAGCACTGGGGTGCACAGTGGCTTCTTTTATTTTGCAGGTTCCCCCATGCACCGCCCCCCCCAGGTCACTCCTGATCAGCAGGAAGGTGAAAACCATGGTTTTAACTATGGTGCTGTTTTTGCCTCCCAGCCAGTCAGCAATAGACAGCAGGGCTGCCAGGGGCCCTTGGCCAATCAGTGGCGAGCAGCAAAAATGGCACCGTATTTAAAACTGCAGTTTTTGTCTCCCTGCTGATCAGGAGCCAGTGGTGAGCAGCAGGGCCCCACTGCCAATCAGTGGTTGGGGATGCACAGGAGAATCTGCAAGTTTAAAGGAGCCACCATGCACCCTACTCCCATTGTGAATTTGGTAGGTTCCTATTCATAAATAATTTATCTAGTAGGCAGACAGGGTTAATTTTTTTCTTCTTTAATAACTGTCCAGTTGATATATTGGTTGTATATAGCTAAACTAAAAGAGTATATTGCAGTCAAAGTATGTGTAGTACCTGTATAGGCTGAAATGTGACACATTAGTCCAATTCATTATACAGTTTCAGATTACACATTTTTTACGTGTAGCTGAGTGACTGAGAAACTGTATTCAAGCACATGGATTGTAAAGTAAATTCAAAACAGTACGATTATACATTAATTTCTGTGTGCTGGTCTTTCCTAACTTAATACTACCCATACATGAAGATGAGGGCTGATGCCATTATTTGTGAGATTCAATCTTTATTCTTTAAAAGAAGTCATTTTATTTGGAAAATATAAGGAATTTTACATGTATTATCATAAAGAAACAATAAATGAAATGTTAATAAAAAAAACATTGACTACATTCTGTTGATGAGAGAGACAATGCAGTGACTATTGGGTCTGGTTCAAGTCTCTATACCATGCTGCCTGTGTACTTCCATTTTAGAGCCTCTTTATGTAACTGGAGTAGTGTAAATGAGAGAATCGGGGCCATTTGGTGATCTATTGGGCATGGACTTACCATGCTGGAAAACGAATCTCTTTATACTGATTAGCGCAGGCTCCTCCAGTTTTTGTTTTTTTGTTTTTTTGTTTTTTTAAATGAAAAGCTGTTTTGTCTTTACCCTTTTACAAGCTATGCTAAGCCTCTGTAACTGTTTCACCATGTAATATATTATTGCGTTTATTTTTCCCTGAGGCTGACTGATAATGTTTCTGCTCTTTGCTGTAACAATATGTTTGGTAACACAAAAAGATGTCCCTGGTGTGTGTGTGTAAATTGTTTCTTGGGAGATTTGGTAGGGATTTAAACTCATATGGAAAACGAAGACCAAGTATAGCTCCTAAAAACTAAATCATAGCTTGGCTAGCACAGTAACAAAAAAGCTGTATTGAATTCCATAACCACTGCTGCCCTGGCTACTGACCTCACAGGGAAATGAAGGAGACTTTGAGCCATTACCTCCCCTGCTATGATGCAGGTTGGAGGGGTGAAGTAGAGATGCGAAATGGGGAGAGCCTTAACACTGCATCCCCAATATTCCAGGTATATTCAGCATTGATTAGTAATCGGGGGTGCCCAACTTTTGAGACATTTTAAAGGGGGCTGAACAATAAAGAAGTGTTGAACTTTAAGGTATGCAAAGTTGTGCACCCCAAATCACTTTGAAAATGATGGCCTGCCTTTTTCAGAATAAATGTTTGATCTTTGTGGAAATAGGCCAGTTTTCCTCACTAAAATCCAGTATTGATAAGTAACAATTGTTCTTTCAGATGTATCACAGAATTCGCCATTCAGAATGTATTTATCGTGTAACAATGGAAAAGCTGTCCTATCACAGTGTTTGTACTGCAGAAGAGTGGCAAAACCTCATGCACTGCACACTCCCTCCGCACATCTGCAAGGAAATAGAATTGTGAGTCTTATTATTTTAGGAGAAGCTACAACCTGTCCTGTGAAAAATAATTTTTTTCTATGTACCCAAGGGTTTATGGAAATCACTGTTGTCACAGAAGTTGCGTCTCCACTGCCTAATATCTTGTTAGATCTTGTTATCACTGTACAACTAAGGGGACCCAGGTATACCTAGTCAGAATGACAGCTTTTTGCACAGTTGTAAATTACAACAGCACACGTTGCATGAGAGCAGCAAATCAGGTCCAAAGAATGTAGAGATAAAAGAGGATAGGGAGGCTGGCCGCTGAATTTGGACACCTAAACCCAAGAATGCATTTTCCAGAATCACAGTCTGATGTATTAGGTACCTAAAGTCTGCATAGGCCTAAGTTTTCACTAATAAAGTACACTAAATACCTACAGTTAAATTTTTGCAAATGTACAGAAGCTTCTCCATCTTGTCACTAATGAGGAAATCAGCATTTATGTCATGGCTAAGCTCAGTCAGGATTCACAAACAATATATTCCTCTGCTTGTGTCCCTGGAGAGGTTCAGACAATTGCAAATGTGTAGGATCAGGCTCCTGCAAAATACAGTGGCACCAGCTGCTTTCATTCAAAAACAGCCAGAGCAGGAAATGTCCGATTTTTATACAATAGTTCAGTAGTTAGAGAACTTCCCCAGTGTGAGGCACAGCCCTAGGTTCAAATTCACATTTCCTACCTTCCAGGAGAATGCGCTAACCACCATGGGATTGCCAATGCTGGTGCAGGGACACTCTTAACCATCTACTGTTGAAATTGTTCTTCTGGGTAAAAAAGAACTAAAAATGCATAGAGCCAAAGGATAAGAAAGAGTAAGCATAAGGCTATAGCGTAATAATTAGGGCACTCGTGAGCTGGAGGTCTGCTCTCTAGTCTTTGCTCCGAAACCTTTCTAAGTATTTTCCATGTTAGTCATTGCTTATAATGCATAAAATATCCTTTATGCAAAAACCAGAATTGAAATTTCGCCCCTCCGGGTGAACAATTTCAACAAGTGCTGAAAATGCCCATGTCTGAGTTTAGCCTGTAGGGGTTAGGGCTTTAGTCTGGGAGATGAGAGAGGTTTGAACACATGTAGGCATAGGAAAAAATTGAACTCTAGTCTTCTACACCCCAAGTGCTCTAGCCCACCAGTCAGCAACCTTTTCTGACAGTGGACCAGAAATGGCCTGGCTTGGCTCTTGAGACGGGCCAGTGCTAGGACCTGGCTAGCACTGGCATTACTTCCTCCCACTGCCTGGCTGAGGCACGGTGAGGGAAAACTTGCTGCAAAGTGGCATAGCATGGGCAAAGCCCCAGCTCCATGGGCTGGACCCAGTGGTTTTGCAGGCCAGATCCATCCTGTGGGCTGTAGGTTGCCAACCCCTGCTGTTGCCTGTTGCGTCCCCTTTCATCAGTTTTCTTAAAAAAAAAAAAAAAAAAAAAAGGAA